AAATATTAAAATACTTTCTTCATTTTGCAAAAAAAAAAGTAAAATCAAATTTAAAGAACAACCCTGCGTTATTTTTCGATTTGTGACAAGCTTGACGATGAAAAACAAAGTTGCACCGAAAATTCATTTGATCAATTTATTTTAAAAATGTTAAAATACTTTCTTCATTTTGCAAAAAAAGAAACAATGAAATTTAAAAACCACCTTGCGTTGTTATTTTTCAATTTGTAGCCTGACGATGAAAAACAAAGTGGCATCGTAGATTCATTTGATCAATTTATTTTTCAAATGTTAAAATACTTTTTTAATTTATCACGAAATTTAAAAAACCACCTTGTATACACACATATACGAGTATATATAAATAATTTATATATATATGTATATATACGTGGATGAGTTAAAAACATGTTTGAAGCCTAAAGATTTTTTTTTTCAATCGAATTAACTTTCATTTAAAGTAAAATACAAAAAACAAGCACAAAATTTAGTTGTTTTGTCAAGGCTCAAAAAATTTTTCAACCCAACCACGTTTTGTGTAGCAACGTGCACCTGATATCCCCTCTACTGCGTTAGCCCTTTCCATCTGCCCTTTATTATTCTCCTCTACGTCGAATTCATTATCAGATTTGTACATCAGATTTAAATTCAATGCGAACATAAAATCGTTCGATTGCGAAGTGAAATGTCTTCTTTTTTTTTTCAACGTGTCAATTTGAAAATCGTTCACTTCTGAAGGACTGCGATAAACCTTGGGTCTTTTCGAACTTTTAGAAATGTCTTCAAAAATTTCTTCATTATCATCATCTTTGGTTATTGAAAAATCATCAAAATCATTGTCATCCTTTTCCGATGTTTTTTCATCATTTTTTTCAACCAGTCTACTGCAACTTGACGATTTTTTTCTCGAACTTATCAAATGATTGCATTTAGGTATCATTGATATAACCTTACATGATTTATTATCAACATTGTACAAATCGTTCATACTTTTAGCATGTTTTGTAAAAAGATTCGTTCGTTTATCATCATTTTCCAATGAAGTTGAATTAATTTCATCGTCACGAGACAGAGAAATTTCCATTGAGTGTTTTGCTTCGAATTCGATTCCACCGGACGAGGAATTGGAAGAAATGGATGATGAACAATAAACGTTTTCCGAAATATTTGTCGTATTCGAAATGATTGACGATGAATCTACAAAATCCTTGCTCAGCGATCTAGGTAGCACTACAGGTGGCACAAATCTACGTTTTGGTATTGGCGGTACATCTACAGGTGTTGATTTTTTCCCTTCTAGTTTTACAACGTTGCGTGGTTTGGGCAAGGGTGCTAACTCTTCGGTTGATACCATTTCTATGGGGATAACCGAACACCATCACCATAAAATATATAAAAAAATAAAGAAAACAGGAAGACATGGAAATAAACATACACATAAGAAAAATGATTAAAATTTTTGTTTGGGGGTGAGGGGGGTTGTTAGTAAGCTTTTTTTTTTAAAAAAAAAAAATGGTTCATGCTGAGATCTTGGAAAATAAAATTAAATTTGCAAGATTCAGATAATCTAATTTATCTAACTTATCTATATAAAATTGCAAGTGAAAGAAAATATTTCTATCAAAAAACAAAAATGTGCAATTAAAAAGTAAATCTATGATTGTAAATGCTACTGTAAAAAATATTTTTTAAATGTTGGAAGAACTAGTTTTTTTTTTTTTTTAGGTTATACATAACCTAATTTTTCCTTAAATTATAATTGATATTTTTTTAGGTTATTTTACTTTAGGTTATAAATATTTACTTTAGGTTATACATAACCTAAAAAATTTTTTGATAAAACGTTTATATTTGGTAAAATAAAATTTAAAAAAATGAAAACTAAACGAAAACATAAGTGAGTAACTTAAAAATTTCAATTTTGATTCACAAATTAAACAAAAAAAAAAAAGATAAAAATAATTATAATATTATAATATTTTTTGAATGATCATACTCAAACGAATTCTCCAACCCTACTTTCAAGTATAGAATTTAATTGTATCAAAAATTGATTCCAACTTTCGTTTGATTCCTGACGACTGACCAATCCCGGTGGTGGTGGTTCCAAAATGCTCAATTTTTTATCCAATTCTAATTTATTTTCCGAATGTGGTATGATTGGTAACGATGGTAATTTATCAATGTCATCTGGTATGGATTCTATTGGTGCTATTTGAATATCCAATGGTTTAGTTGAAATTGCAAAAATTTGAAGATTACTCAATGGTGGAGGTGACAAATTATTTCTACCATTGATACTTAAATTCAAATCAAAATCGTCGTGACTCGAAACTATTGGATCATCGTAACACTTGGTTGTCCTAACATCACCCAATTTTGGTATTTGATTGACATAACTTGAACATGATGACAATTTGTTAGAATTTTCTTCATGCAAATTGAAACTTTGTGAACTTAATGAATTTTTTTCATAGGAATTTCTGGTTTCTTTCAATTGGTTACAATTTTGAAAACTAATACTATGCTTCAACATTTTATTTGAATACTTTTCATTGCAACTATAATTGTCAACATGTAATTTAGAAGAACTGTATTTATTCTCAAGTAAACCACATTCGTTCATAGTTTCCAAATTATTTTCAATGTCATCCAAATTGACAATAGCTTTCATTTTAATCAATTTATTATTGTTAGATGATTTTTTCACTTGATATACATCAGAAATGATCTTTTGAGAATCTTTTGAAAAAACTTTGTTGTATTCTATAAAACTTAGTGACTTTTGCAACTTTGAATTGGAACAATTGACAATTGTATTATCAAATGAATTAGAGAATTCGTTTTTAGTGTGATGATTGGATTGGTTTGAATTAGAATCAAATGTTTCAGTTAATTCGCAAACGTTTTCTAAACTATTTCTACTAACAAAACTATAAGATGGTAAATAACTATCAATACTATTTGGTGTATACACTAGCTTACCTCTTTTAACATCTACTCTAGCATTTTCTACTTTGACAGAATCCTCGATAACATTAATGGAATTTTGATCATTTTTCATGATTTCCGAATGATCAGATTTGTCAATGATGATAGTGCTAACACCAATATCGGATGATGCTTTTGAAGGTACACCAATATCTGATGGTGGTTTTGATGGATCCATATCGGAAGTCAAAGATTCTTCAGAATCGTCAATGCGTTCTAATGCTTGAGTTGAAATGGCTGATGAGAGTGGCCTTGAAACTGGTGGTGGTGGTGCTGCACGTTTTTTCTTTAAACCTGCGAAAAGAACAGAAATTATTTTGATTTTTATACATTGTATTTAATGTTATGTGGGGTATTGTATGTTTTGTGACTAAGTGAAAGTATTTTATATATTTTTGTGTGATAAGAGATGCAAGAATGTTAAGAAAGAAATATTTCATTGCAGAACAGCATTTTAGATGATAAAATAATCCTATGTTGCATAGAAATTTTTATTGAATTTTAAATGAAAAAAAAAAAAATAATTTGTATTATTACCAATTTTGATATTATTTTTGCATTGCAATATTTTGTATTATTATAATATTAATATTAATAAAAATATAATATAATAATTAAATTTAAATTAATATAATAACATTACCAAATTATATATTTCGTAATATTAATATATTAATATTTATTCTATATCTAATAATTATTTAATTTTATATAATTATTTATTATATATAATATTATATTTATATAATTGTTAATGAAAATATATATTAGATATTTATTTATATGATAAATAAAATTTTATTATATTTATAATAAAATATATAAATATATAAAAATAAATATTATATTATAA